TATTCTATATTCTAATATAGAATATTCTAATATGATCTACGCTTTCAAGATGAAGCTATCCCGTGTCATTACTGTGAAACATCACTGAAAATGACATTGTGAGGCATTTTCATTTGAAGTTTCTATTAAGTTTAGCTGATGTCATGAAAAATGTGTGTAATTTTTATTTGTAAAGTTTTAGATTCAGATATTTTTTGATTACATACAGGTGTGTGATAACACAATGCCCTAATCTTTCCCCTAGGAGTGGACATCCCACCAAATTCAGCCCAGGACCAGAGTGTGCAGTACTTAGAGAAACTGCAAAAAAACAAACAAACCCAAGAGCTATCTCAGACTCTACAGTCAGACTCTTTAAGCTCATCAGTACTTTTGAAGATTGACTTTTGTTTTCATTCATTTTCTCCTTTTTTTCTGAGAATTTTGGAGTCATCAGTGGAAATCATTAATGACCACTCTGATTGGCTTCAGGGTGAAATTTATGTGGTTAATGTGGCCCTTGCGTGGTATGTACCACCGGCAGATAGAGGAAGTGGCTGACATCCAGAAGTCCCACCAGTGGAACGGCATAACTAAGTGGCCGGCATAGTGTACAGGAACATATGTGCCGGAGACGCCTCATAGGGTGGTTGAGAATGACCGATCTAAGATCCTGTGGGACTTCCAGATACAGACGAACAAAATGGTGGTGGCTAACCAACCAGACGAAGACGGCTGTAGTGATAGATGCAGCGATACTGAATGACAGCAATATCTGGAAGAAGGAACACAAAAAGCTGGAGAAGTACCAAGGGCTCAGAGAAGAGCTCGAGAAGATGTGGAGGGTGAAGATATCAGTGGCCCAATCAGAGTACCCGATATGGTGACTTCCATGCTAGGTGAGTGGCTCCAGCAGATCCCAGGAACAACATCGGAGATCTCTATCCAAAAGAGTGCAGTCCTGGGAACAGCTAAGATACTGCGCAGGACCATCAAGCTCCCAGGCCTCTGGTAGAGGACCCGAGGTTGAAGGACATACCACCCGCAGGGGAGAGAGGAGAATTATTTATTTATTTTTTTTTATCTCAATAGATAAGATGGTTGTGTATAAGTGATCTTGTGCTTTCTAACTGGGACAAATGTCTTTATTATATCTCTATTATAAGATTATTCACACCAAGAATTTAAAAAAGATAAAACCTTGAATGCAGACTTTTATTTTGATGATCACAACAAAAATGTAAACACAGCAAAAGCTGAATGAGTTCAGCAAATTCTAACCTTTATCAGTAATACAGAAGCCATTTTAATAAAGATGATGATTTTTATTCACATTTTATTTTTTTTATTCACACATTCTTAATTTTCCTTGCGAGCTTTTGTCAACAGTAAGGCAATAAAATGCATTGCAGAATAACTGACAGGCTGGTTTTATTATCGGTTTGGCGGTTTGCTGCGACATCATGTTGAGTGCTTTTTGACAGTAAAGACAGTGGTTCAGTTCCAGCAGAAATACTGAATAAATAAGCAATCTTGTTAATGAATATTCAAGCAATGCAATCTTTTTATGTCTGGTGTGACTAAATGACTAAGCCTTCTAATTCATTAAGATGTTGGCTACTTCTTAATGAATTAGTTAATGGAGAACTATTTGCATGTTAATGAATTCCTAATGCCATGTATGACAAGAAAACTGTGTTTGTATATATTAAGTGTTTTCTTAAAGAAAATTTTGTCCCCAGAATGATCGGGAATGTTGTGAAATCATTTCTATATTTAAGCTTTGAAGTCAGAGTTCTATATCATTTCTTTTAGATCTTTTCTTTAATCTACATATCTCAATAAACTTTTCTTTCAAATATTTTGTTAAAGATACATTTCTCCAGTGGTACAGACATTTAATAAACAACACTCTCTCAATAAGGTATATTCAATCCCACTTGAAGTCTTGTCCTACAGTTTCATAGAATTTGATGTTAAATGGTCTATAAAACTCCTGCAGCTGTTCTATGACCTCCTCCTCAATCTGTACATGAGTCCTACCCTTGGATTTACCGAGGCATCGTGGCTGGCTGCTGCTCTCTGGTTTCTTCAGGCAGGGGAAACCTTTGGTTCGATTAAAGTAGAAGTGTTTGTCCGTAATAATTCGTTTCAGTCCCAAAAAGTCCTGGACACGTCCCATTTCCCCTGCTGGATCTGTTATCAGTCGCTCACCGCTCACAAAGTGCATTTGCGACAAGCGAAAGTATTGCAGCCAGTTCTCCAGGTGCACAATATACATCCCAATCCGAATGGCATTCCAGGAAGTATCAACAAGACCTAAGCTTCTGTTCTTAAAGGCCAGCTCTTCAAACGTGGGAATGTCAGGCTTCTTGGAAAGCGTCTGTGTGTAGTCAGAAATGGCTCTTGTGACTGGGTTACGCACCACAACGATCAGCTTGGTCTCATGGGACATGCTGGAAATGCGTCTGGGAGCCTCTCTGGTAACAAAGTAGCTGGGAGTCTTCTCTAATGTGATCTGGCTGTCTAGTGTACGTGGCATTAGTCCCCTGGGAAGAAAGACAAAAAATAAAATACACATGAGTCACCAGGAGTTGTTATTTTCATGTCCAGGAATATTTCCACATGCCTTTATGTTTTATGACTGAACCCCCCCACACACACACATCTATCTTAGGTGGAAGTTTAAAGGCTGTCAGTTGGATCACAGAGCTAAAAAAAAGTGGGTGTTCAAATATTTTTAGGCAAGCAGCAATTCCACAATGAGGAAGATCCAAAATCTTTAGTTAAGCATATTGTCATTAATAACAACCAAAATCAAAAGCACAAATTATGCATAATGGCAAATTAAAATTTAAACTTAGTGTGTCTCTAATTCTTTTTATTATAGTTATAAAGTTATTACTCACAAATATGCCTATTTTGGTCTTGCATTGAAAATATTAATTAATAATATAAGGAAAGAAGAAACAAAAAAAGCACTAATTAAATGTCAATGTCAAATCTTACTGACTTTTGTCTAACAGCAAGATAAAAATACAAAATATTTAAGAGCTAACAAAGAAAGTTGTCCGTCTTTTGCACTGCATTGTTAAAACAAACACCCAAATAAACACGGTGTGGATGTATTTGTTAGGCATTTGATGCTGACAGGACAGCTTGTACAACCAAAACATGCATCATAATTATCATCATCATGCTGCCAAGATAATGGCTTTGCACATCCACAGGCAAATGATTTTATTCGTCCTATTTGTCACAAGAGTTTCCCTTCGCAGTGTAATATGTCATTCTGCTTTGGCACTTTGGTTCAATAAAAGTTGATTAATAACCATCTGGTGTTGGCTGTTGAGACAATGGATCCCCTGTTCACGATTCAGAGATCATCCATACTTCTCTATAGTTATGTCTTTGCTCTACATATTCAAGTGACTGCTGTAGCTTTGGCAAAATAACTCACCAATTTGATAGGAACAGCTCCGAGACAGTTCTTTTAAAATAGCCTTTTATGTTTATTATTACAGATTACAGAGTACCTGAAAACATAACATTAATATTTTGTGTCTGCAATATGTTTGATATTTGGTGGTTAGGACAAATGCTGGGTTGATGGCATGTTAAAAAGAATGCCTAAATGTCTGTACTGTAAATGTCTGTGAAGGGTCTCAGTCATCCAGGTCATCGTAGTCTAAGGAGCTTGGGGAAAAAAAGCGTTTGGGCTTATTTAAGTTTCTTGAAGACATTTCACCTCTCATCTGAGAAGCTTCTTCAGTTCTAAGAGCAATTGGTGGAGAGTCCCAGATGAAAGAAGCCATCTACGTCCACTGTGAACGACCCTGCTTGAACAGAGGGGGTGGCTCACGACACCAACTGTCTGCCATCTATGTGGAGATAAAGTATCGAATTTCAGGAGTGGGACCACGCCTCCAAACATGTTTCTTCCGGTTCTTATCTATATATGTTCCCCCAGTTCTACAAGCTGTTCATTCTCGTTTATGTGCCAATTCTTTAACTTCTTCGCTTCTATTTAGTACATGGGGATCTGCTAGGCCCGGGAGCCACCAGCAGTCCCCTTCGACGCCTTCCCCAAACCGCTGCTCAATTCACGTCCAAGCCAAACCTTCATCTACTAAAATGCTGTCTAACCTAAACGGAGGACGTGGGCCCAGCTAGTGAAAATCCAGCTTTGAGATCCCTTCCCAGACACCTTAACACTCACTCACACATTGGGTCATTTGTTCTCAGTAATTCACATGATAGGGTGGGGCAAGGTCTCACAATCACCTGAAACCTTGGCTGATTGTGACCAACACCCGTTTTTACACCTTGGCTGTGATTAGGCAGAGGGACAACAAGGAGTCCAAGACCCTCTTAGTGACACTCCCAATAGGGCTTAAAATCTGGGACTCGCCACCAATTGCTCTTAGAACTGAAGAAGCTTCTCAGGTGAGAGGTGAAACTTCTTCAAGAAGCTTAAAGAAGTCCAGACACTTTTCTTTCCAGCTCCTTAGACTCTGTACTGTACATGAAATCTCAAAACAACATACACCCAGATATAGTGTATGCTGTAGTAGACTGCACCGGGACACCTAAACCTCCAGGAGCTGCTCGTCTATGGAAACCCATGCTGTGAAGTTCCTGGCATGCATTTTTTTATCACAGATGTTAATGCAAGAGGAGGTTTCAAACTCTGCAGTTGCTGGGCCAACAGAGTACTATGTAACTTTATGCTGTCTCTTACTTTGTTGCTGAGTTACTGTGCTTCCTTACACCTTCCAGTTTGCAATAATACCACTTACAGCTGATTGTGGAACAGCTAGGATGGAGAACATTTGATGGACTCACTGATCACAATGATGGCATCCTATTCCAGTATCACGGTCAAATTCAGTGAGCTTTTTAGAATGATCTATTCCTCCACAGGGCAGACTGCATGGTTACTGGCTTGATTTTTGTACACTTGCTGCAATAGGACTGAAAACATCTGAATTCAAAGATTAGGGATTCTGGCCCAGTACTCTTTTATCCACATAGTTTATCTAAAGTTGGGGTTGACACAAAGTTCACACTGAAACAATGCTGAAACATCAGTAAAAAGTTTAAAGATTGTAAAGTGTCAAACCCCAACTCCCTTGTGTAGCGCTAATTAAAACAAACGACAGGTAGTGAGAGATGTTCAAAAACACTGACATTAACTTCGGATGTTGGCGTGTCAGAAATATAGAGACCATTTTTGATGAGCCTTGAAGCCTTGGAGAATGCTTTCTGTTTGCTAGTCTTCAACATTCATTTGCATGAGTACTTAGAACACACACATAACATACTGATATGCTTCATGACTAGATCATATGCATCTGTGGAAAAAATACTATCTATGGTATTGTGGTTAGTAATTAGCAACATTTAGTGTCCATATAACCTCAGTAATTAGGTTCTGGACATGGCAAAAATAAACATTATACTTTTGATCTGCAAGTCCAGCACAGTGCTGGGTGACTTTAAACCATGTTACATAGCTACATTCTCAGCATGTGAATTGGTTTCTGGATATCAGATACATTACTACACAGTTCTGATGATAAATATCAAACTTTCTTTATTATTACCGGAGGAAGGCTTCGATTAAAACCTAACCTTTCTGAAAGCCTTTTCTTTCAAGGTAGGGGTAGCCATAGGTTACCTCTACAGTCTTGGAATTATTGATCCATTTAGTTTTATTTATGAATCCTTAGTTGTTGGCTCGGGTGCCTCGGGGCCACCAGGGAACTATTAATCTTTTATAAGAACAGCACCTTCCAAGCAAACAGCTTTGCTACAAACTGGAAAAATAAATAAATAAAAATAAAAAAAGGCGGTGCAGAGCCTAAAGAGATCTTCAGTTGTCTTCTCGAATAAGTGTTTTTGTTATCTGATTTGTCAATTCCTTACGTTTTTACCACCCTCAGAGATGAAGATTGTGTAGTTGCAAAGTAAATTCAATATGCACTGGTTAAAAATTGCAATTTAATATTACACAAAGCTTAACATTAACACATACAGAGAAAGGGCACATAGTGTTTACTGTGCAAGCATATACAACTCTTTTTCTGTAGAGAACATGTTAACACCTTTGCAGTGCAGGGAGAAGAGGCTGGGACTGTGACATTTATGAAAACGATAAGGATGTCAAATTTAGAAGATATTTGACAGGGATTCCTAACTCCCACTGGTAGTGAGCCTGTCTTTTAAGCTTCTTTATTCCCAGTGAGGCGCAGGACTAGACATGGATATTGTATTGACAAGATCTCCTTAAAGAAAAAGAACAAAAAAACCCACGAATCTCAAATACATTTCTATTTTTAAGTTAAGGGAGGAAAGGATGTTATAAGCTACTGTGTTAATAAAGCCCAGTTGTGAAGCCATCATCATCATCATCATCAAAAACATCTTGGTGTTCTGAAGCCCGATGAGGCACGGCTGAGAAACTGAGGCGCACTGTGCTTTAATACCATAGCAACATGTCAATCACAGTCTAAAGCATACCTCCCGTATCTGCTGTTGAATCGTATGTGAGGCTGGACCAGGAAGTTGTTTTTTGTGAAACTGATCAAGTGTGGCTTGGAGTAATTGTCCTGTTTCCATCCTGATGGTATTCTACAAAGCACAATTAAATCATGTTATGTTGAACTTAAAGTTTTCAGTGTCACAAAGTTGGCTCCCTTTGTCCCTGATGCCAAACACATGAAGTCATCTGAAAATGTCACATTGTCTTTTATTTACAGTTTGCTTTGAGTTTCTTCTGAAGGAATACATTTATACACACAATTTTTAAACTGTCTTAAAAACACTACTTGTAATATTACCAAATGAAAACTAAGTTGCAGTATTTTATTTTAATAATTAGTCCTTATGTGCTGCACCAGTGTCTTTTACACAAGTGGAATGGCAGCTCAAAGCACAGAAAATTGATCAGTTATTTTTGTAGGCTATTTATCACTCAGAATACTCAATCAATAACAGTAATTTCACATTGATCTGCCATTTTCTTTATTAGTCAGGAGGGTGTCAGAACTCAATGGTCTAAAAATCTTGCTGTTTTAAAATTATCAGAAAAAAACGAAAAAACAAAAACTCTGATATGTTCTAAATGTTTTAGAGACAGGTGTGGGTTATATATGTGTGCGTGAGTGTGTGTGCTACAGCCTTGCCTTTTTTACGTGTCTGCTTACATCTTCAACACATTCATTGTTATGTGTTCATGGTGGAAAAAGAAACTGTGGCAACATAACCAAAGCATAGCTATCTGCTGCCAAGGAGAGAGTGTAAATTAAGATTTTTTTAAAAGTGCTATATCATTTAAAGTTTTAAACTTAACACTGATCTATGACTCACTGTCACTAATATGTACGGAGGAGGTCAGGAGAGCAGTGCGTGTCTCCAGCCGTGTGTAAAACATCAGAGGCTCTGTCATGGTTTGGGGCTGGATTTCATCCAGTGGAGCTGCGACTCTTGTAGAAATTGAGAGAATTATAAACACAAAAAAACCCTGTCAGATTTTGATCCACCATGC